GAACATCATAAGGCACTTTGTCACATTTTTTCACTTCTCCACTTTTTCCGGCAAGGTGCTGTTTCATTCTATTTATTCCACCACCTTTGATAAATTTTTTACAATGCAAGCATTGTAATGTTTTTTTAGTCCCTTCAACTTCAACGCAATGCTCCCATGCAATATCAGCTTTTCCTCTAGATGATTGTTGTGATTGTAATTGTGTAGATGCAGCAGTTGAATTTTGTCCAGATGATGACATTTTCCTACAATTTACATATATATAAAATTATTAACAAAATATTTAAGAGTGCAAGTATAATAAATAAAAAATTCTTACACAAATACTGATCAATAAAAAATTAATACTGAAATCCATTTTGCTTAAGAATAATCCTTATAATCTTATTTTTATTACTTTTCTAGCATACTGCAGTGTAATTCCAAAGACACATTTTACGCTTCAATCCAATTATGCTCAAAATGATGATGAGAAGCTTGAATTTGAATATGAATCAAGGAATACAAACATTTTGGCAAGCTCTTAAGTATGTAAAATTGAAATTCTAGAAGAATGCACCCACTTACCTTAAACTTAAAAGGATTAAAAGGGCGAGCTGCTGCAGAGGAGATGAGCAAAATTCTGATTTCTGCTACTGCTTCTGGTCCGTGGAGCAGGAGATGAGGAATAGAAGGAGGGCAGCGAAGGAGAAGAAGTTCGACTTTGCTGCTTCTATTGAGTGAATGACGAGGAAGATTCTGATTTCCGTTGGTGCTTCTGTTCGGTGGAGCAGAGAGAAGAAGGGCACTGACAGAGGGGATGAGGAAGAGAAGGAAGGCAACGATGGAGGAGATGGTATGTTCTGCAATAGTGTGACTTTTGTTTTGCTTTGCTGTTTCAGTCCAGTGAGGAAGGAGGAGGTGATCGGCAGTCAACAGAAGAGATGAGGAGGAGGTGCTCAGCAGAGGAGAGAAACCACTTTCTCGAAGACGATCTGTTCTATTTTGAGCCAATCAGATGAGGTAGATGGTGAAGATCGACGGAAGAGAAGAAGTGCAGTGATAGAGGAGAAGATCAGCGGACGAACGGTGGAAGAGAAATCGACGAACGATCGGCAAAGAAAAGATCGGCGGATGATCGGCGGAAGACCCTTCTGCAGTTCTGTTGGTACTTGGTTCCTCCTGAATCTGGGTTTTGCAATTTGTTTCCAGTTCCACTTTCCAGTTTCTAGTGTCCCGAGCTCCTGATGATTTTAGATGTTAGATTCTTAGGGTTTTTAGTTTTTACTTAGTTAATTAGTTTAATTAATTTTTAATTTAGGTTTTAAACTTTAATTTAAGCCAAAAGACAAAAACTTAAAATTAAAAAGATGGTGAAAAACTGAAAATTTCAGCTCGGGCGAGCATGGCGGGTTGCACCAATCCAGCGGGCACGACGGGCTTGCTGGGTTTCAACGGGTTTCAACGGGACATTCACCTAAACGGGCTGAAGCCTTCAACCGGCCCGTTTTCAGGCCCGGGTCCGGTTCAACCAGTTCAACCAGCCGGGCCGGGCTGGGTTCAAAAACATTGGATTATACAAGTATAATCGACAGAAAATTTGTTGATTATATTCAATGCATAATCGACAACCAATTTTCTGTCATTATACTTGTATAATTGACAAAAAAGTTGTTGATTATAGGCTAAATACCTTTTGTGATCCCTCTACTATAGGAAAAAACCCATTTTTAGTCCCTATACTGAAAAAATCCCTTTTTAGTCCTTACTGTTTGAAATCCGACCCCTTTTTAGTCCCTCCGTTAAATTTTTTAACAGGTGGCAGTTAATTAACGGAATTGTGTAGTGTGAAAAATCCACTTTGTAGAAAAAAATGATTTGGACATATTTTTTAGCCCACGTCAACATCTTCACCCTCTTGGCTTTTTTTTTTTTTTTTAATCTTTGTTGTGTTCGTCCACGCTGGGTTCGCGAAGAACCCAGCAAACCCAAGACAAACCTAGTGCGCATTCTGGGTTTGCGACAAACCCAGCATGTGCCTGGGTGGGTTCGTCCTGGGTTCGCGAAGAACCTAGCTCACGCCTGGGTTTGTCGTGAACCTGGAAGGCACGCGCTAGGTTCGTCGCGAACCCACCCAAAAGAATTAAATCTGGTTTCATAATAAAAGGGCAAGGTGAAATATTCTCTCATTTTATCACGGCCATTTTTGGAATTAAATCTCTGCACCCATAATAATGTAGCATTGATTAGGGAGGAATTATTCCTTTCAGTCTTTTACACAAGAAGAATAAAATCTGAATGTGGGATTTTGGTGCAGGATGAAGTTGAAGCAAACAAAGGTGGATTGCAAGTATTTAAAGAGGTGCTGCGAGAATTTAACGGAGGAAAAAAGGCTGTTGCAGAAGGAGGTGCAGCAGCTTCGAGCACTGAAACTCTCTTCGCAGCTCTACATAAACATGAATCCTTCCACCACCCTCACCATGTGCCGTTCCTATGAAAGCATAGCAGTTCAATCCTCGTCTTCTAATTCTACGACTGCTTCATCCACTTCAGCTCCCAACCACCAACAAAGGCTGATACCCTTTAGTCCTTGGGCTAGTTTGACAATTGGCCACCATCGACTGCTTGATGCTCCGGCATCTAGATCGTAACCGTCAATGGGATGATGGGGTTGGGGACATTGATGTTTTGGAAGCTTGTGTATGAATATGTTTGGAGGAAATTAATGATAATCAATGAATTTGTGGTGGTGGTTAGGATAATGTTTTTTGTTTTAAGGCAATGGGTGTTACTCGTAGAGGGTGGAGATAACGATAGCAAAAATTTCTGTAAAGTGAATATGGTTTTGATGATAGTAGAGTAATTAAAACTAGCTAAAGAATCTGAATTTACTTTCTTTTGGTCATACAACTTAAATTAATTGATTAGCTAAACTTCTGAACCCATCCAGCATGTGTTGGGTTCGTCTTGGGTTCACTGGGTGCTGACGAACATAGCAAAGTTTTTTTTTTAAAAAAAAAAACCAGGAGGGTGAAGGTGCTGACGTGGACTCAAAAATATGTCCACGTCATTTTTTTCTACAAAGTGGATTTTCCACACTACACAATTCTGTTAATTAACTACCACCCGTCAAAAAATTTAACGGAGGGATTAAAAAGGGGCTGGATTTCAATAAGGACTAAAAAATGGATTTTTTCCATACAGGGACTAAAAATGAGTTTTTTTCCTATAGTAGAGGGACCAAAAAGGGTATTTAACCTTGATTATAATTTGTGTCGATTAGATAAGCCAATAAAGTACATAACCAACATAATAATATAATCGATAGCTTTTTTGTCGATTGTACAAGTATAGTCAATAGATAAACAATTGACTGTCAATCATAAATTTGTCGATTATACTCTGTTTTCTAATAGTATCATGTGGCACCATTAAAAAAATCTTTTTTTTTTTTCAATAGGAAGTAAGAATGCTTACTAAAAATCAAAATCCAATGTTTGAGATACCTTGATCACTATTAGAAGCACAAAGACAAGAACATCAAGTTCACCATTAGAAGCATAAGACAAAAACATCAAAGTTTGTTCTTAATTGCTAATTTGTTTCTAATTAATAATTTATTTTTAGTTAATAATTTGTTCGTAGTTAATAAAAATCAATCTCAATCCAGTTTCTTCTTGTATTTGTTTAGACATATTTTGAATTTGTTGTTTGAACTTTAAGATTGAATAGAGTTATATTTTTTATATAATGCCTTTCTAAATATTAAATAAAACAGTATTTTTTATATAATATACTCATAAATATTAAATAAGTACTAAATATTAACATATATATTGGATTTGCCTTTTGAACTCCAACGCTTCATATCTCTTTTTTTAATAAAAGTTAATATCTCTTCTTTTAATCAAATGTTAGTATATTTATGAAATTATAAATTCTAAATATTGTATAGACAATATGTATTTGACATATAGTTTAATCCCACCTATGTAATAAGTAATCTTTCCCTTTTCTTTTCATGAGATTGAAATGAAAATTAAATCATGAAATAAAAATTAGTATTTAATAGAGTTTTCTAACTAAATAATTAATTAATCTTAGACTTTGTTAAAGAAAAATAAAGAAAAATATGAAAAAAATTTAATTTTAATTTTTTTAAAAATTGATATCACCCGACTTAATATGAGATTTGTGTGAGTAAATTATAAGTTTATTCTTTTAACTCAACACCTAAAATAACCCAATTCAAAAAACTCAAAATCTAATATAACCCAATTCCAGTCCACCCGATCCAACCTGTTTAACCTGTTTGTCACGTCTAATAAAAATCATTGTTTATTCATTAGGAAAAGGTCCACTCATCCAATATTCAAAATAAATATGGTCCCTGTCTCGGACCGCATATGGCCGAAGTTTCAACCTGAAAAA